GAATATGCTACGACATCAAAGACAATTCAACCATTACTTAGGTATAAATGAATATGGAAATATGATTAAATAGATTAATATCACCCTGACACGTTATTTACAGTTGGACCGGATCAACCCAGATCAACTCAGCAATCCCCCAACGAAGGTAAGGAAAAAAAAAATAGATCAGTATTAATTTTAGATATATGATAGAACAATAATAATAAGAAAAGTGAAATATCATTACAGCGACCGCGCCCTCAACACACTGATCATCGTCAAGTCCATGTTGATGATGAAGGTAATTAAAAAAGAAATATAATAGTATAGGATGATTCTATTTGTTATTTAATTACAGTATGGATAGACTTGACTACAGAAGAAGAAGAAAATAGGGAAGCAGACAATTTTAGTAACATCGGGGAAACAGGTAAACAAAAAAAATAATGATTTAAGGTAACTAATATACATTCATTCAACTCGGCTAACACGGTCACAATATATATGTATCAGAAAGAGTACCGGCTGCAATGAATTCGGTCAACTACAGCAGTGTCTGCGACGACCACAATTACAGCAGTGTCTGCGACGATCAAAATATCGGTAAAAAGAATATTAATAATAATAATATACAAAACAATAACAGGGTTGATCAATTTAGAATATATCGACGTCTGGCCTCCGTCTCCGACACACCACACAGGAACCGCCGCCGACACATCGATAAGAACTGGTGGTGCCATGACAATGACCGATATAATCAATTACACTAATTAAAATAACGCGTGCGGATAAGTACTAATAAATTGAAACATATAGGTCAAATGGACGCTACCGATGTGCCGAGTAGAATCACAACAACGGCTGCTACAGACGGCCGCAATACCGATAATATGCAAATACAAAGTCCGAACCGTAAGAATACAACCAATACAATTAATAATATGATTATACGTAAATGATAAATTAATTTAAAATAAGTAGTAAAATGATAATTTATTTATGAATTAATTTAAAATAATTTTTTTTACATGGTATTTATGTTAATGTTGGAATTTAAAATAAATTAACAAACCGTGATATACACACACACACACACACACACACACATAGTTTTCATAACGCATGTTTCGGAACGCGTTACATTTTTTTTCTCGACTATATTCATGTGGGCAGTATTTTTTTTTTTTTTTTTTTGATTTGCTGTGTGTGTGTGTGTGTGTGACAATAATATATTTTAAGGAAATAACAGTGTACTGTAATTTAATATTCATAGCGCTCGACAACGACGATGACGGCGTTAGCGAGGGTGATGACACGATGACCACGGGTCGGACAAGTATGATAAAGAACCGAATGGGAAAAGAGAAATAATAATAATATTAATAACGGTGTGTATTTGCTTTACGAACAGCTCGATTCGGCGATGCTTTCGACGGCCGAATTTCAAATTTCAAAATCGATTGCCGAAATACGACCGCCGACATTAACGAGTTCTTGGTCCGATCGGAAGCTAAGGTGTTGAAGGTGTGGGATAAACAGCTCGTTCGGTACGTAGCGCTGAAAGTGAGTCTGGGTTTGTACGCGGTGTACGAAAAACAGAAGCAGCCGGCTGCTGGCGGCGCCGACGTGTATGACACATGTGTGCACGATCACGCGGCCGGTCCGGTCATACTGACACAGGGACAGGATCAGCACACAGTGTATACACAGCTTGCTGATATTATTCGTACGAGCGCCGACGAATTTGAACGTGTCGATTCGGGGTGGGCGTTTCGCGAGAACGTATACCTCGAAACGTCTACGTACAAGTATAATCCGCTCAGGGCATCGTGCACAATTACTCTGCCTACCTCGCTGTTGCGGAAGAGCGCCGTCCTGAACATCGCGAACACCGATGATGCATGTTTTTTTTGGGCGATCGTGCCGCACATCCACCCTGCACCGGCAGGTGTTGATCCCACGCGTACTACGAGCTATCCCCCCTACAACCGTATACTCCAAACCCGCGGGATCTCGATGCCGGTGGCGTTAAAGTCCATCCCAAAATTCGAAACCGACAACGAGATCAGCGTTAACGTGTACGCTTGGGAGGATAACAAGATCGTAGGGCCGCTTTACTATACGACCGAAAAGCGAGTGCGCCACGTAAACCTGATGTAGGTCACATCGGTTAACCGCACCGACGGCCATTATGTGTTGATAACCGACTTGGCGCGCGCCGTGGGGAAACAATTGTCTAGGCGCGGGCACAGAGCGTTTCTGTGTGACGGTTGTCTCCTCACGTTTAGGAACCAAGCGGCGATGGATCAACACGAATGCCGGCGGTGTCGCGTTGTTCTCCCCCATCGGACGATAAAAATATCGTCGAGTTCATCAATTGGAAAAACATCGTTCCCGTTCCATTCTGTATTTACGCAGACACCGAAGCTATCCTCAAACCGATCGCCCCGCCCCCGAATGCCGGTGGGACCTACGACATCGCGGAGCACGTAGCGTGTAGTTTCGCTTACTTTGTCAAGTGCGATTTCGATTCGTCACTTGACAAGTTTGAACTCTACCGGGGCGCGGATTGCATGTCGGTGTTTGTGGAACGGTTGGAACGGGACGTGAAGGCCATAGCTCGACGGTATTTTTCCCCCTGGGATATGACCCCCCTTACCCCTGCGCAGCAGGCAGTGCACGATGCGGCGACCGTGTGCTACGTCTGCCGCGAACCGTTGACACTGGTCGACAAGGTGCGGGACCATTGTCACCTGAGCGGACGATACAGAGGCCCGGCTCACAGCGCGTGTAACTTAAAACTGCGAGTACCGAACTACGTAACCGATCGTGCTCCACAATTTTTTCGGGTTACGATAGTCATTTTCTCACCACCGCCCTCGCCGACGACACCAATCAAATCCAAGTCATCGCCAAGACCAAAGAAAAGTACATTTCGTTGTCTAAGTTTCTTCGGTTGGACGACGAAACCGGCGGGAGTCACACAATCGTCATGCGGTTCATCGATTCATACCGGTAAGACTGATAAAAACAAAGCAGTAATTTTGGTCTACAATAACGGTATTTCTGGACAGGTTTCTGCCCTCGTCGCTGGACGAAGCCGCGCGGTCGCTGACCGACGTCCAGCTGGTGAACACCCAAACCCGGTTTCCGGACGATGGTCAGTTCCGGTTAATGAAAACGAAGGGGTATTTCCCGTACGAATACGTAACGAGCGCAGAGGTGCTTGAGGAAACGTCGTTACCTCCACTCGACGCCTTCCGAAGTCAGTTGACGTTGTCCACCATCACGGACGAACAATACCGCCACGCGCAGACCGTGTGGACAACGTTTAACTGTCAAACACTAGGCCAGTATAGTGACGTATACATGTGCGGTGACGTGTACTTACTGGCCGACGTGTTTGAAACGTTCCGGAAGTTTATCCTCGAGCACTACAGACTCGATCCAGCTGCGTATCTGACGACCCCTTCGTTAGCCTGGGATGCGATGAAGCTAATGACAGGGGTAAAAATAGAGCTGATGACTGAGCACGAGCAGGTGCAATACGTCATGAATGAACCGGACAGTGACTAACCGGTGGCGGTGACGATGGATTTGACAGTGTAAAATAACCCAAGACTGACTCTTTTTGTATTTTATTTTTAATTTTTTTATTTTGTAAATAATGTATAGTAATAATACAAATTAAACCAAGACTTCTTTTTTTTTTTTAAAAATTTCCCTTTAGCGATAATAATATCAGGTAATACTATTTGCTAGTACAAAATATACATTGTTAAGTGTGTGTGTACAGGAAAACATCAGGTTTGGACATGCGTGCACAGTGCCGCGGAATAAATTACAAACCGATGAAAGTATGAGTTATTTATTCAACATATAGCCAGATGAATACAAATTTACATATTCGTACAACAAATATATATATATATATATATATATAATTATTGCATAAAACATAATAGAATAATAATAATAATAAAATAAGTTGGTACAATATTTGCCGTTACCGTCCAATGTTTTCATCCATCCAAACGCGGAGGGCTAAACATTGCGCCTTCGCACAGGTTTATTTTGAGCGCGGTCCGAGTGAAATGGACATACGTGTTGTTGTTGTTGGAGCATCCGGCACTTGAGACAGCCGTAAGCTTCCAGGTCGATGACCGTGCACTTCGGTAGATAGCGTTGTAGGAGGTTCCGCTTTTGAATGCCTTTGACGTACACAGCAGTGTAGCGGCTGTTAACGGCGCCTAGGACGCGCGCCAGCTCCGAATACGGTATATGACCGTCTGTATAGCGGATACCGTGAAAGTGTGTTTGCAACCAAACGTTTACTTTCGTGCTTTGCGGTGACAGCCGAAAGGTAGGCGGATGTTGAACCAACCAATGCATCACGTGTGTAGCTCTTTGCGCGTCAGCTATGCATATTTCTTTGATGACCATGTGAAGGTCCGAGTCGACCACGCACTGAACGTCAATAACCGCTGAAAGCATATTGTCAAACTGAGCTATCGGTTCGTTTGATCCAAGCATTATACTTGACGGGTAACCCGACGTATTTCACGAACTGCTTGCCCCCCTTCCTCCGGACAATTTTTTCTATTAAATACGTGTTGGGATAACGCGTCCGGTTCATCTCTTGCGCGTAGAACGTTCCGTTAACCGGCGCGCCGCTCTTATCGCGCACTGTATAAACTGTAGGCGCTGTCCGTCGTACCCCGGACACGGTGAAAATTTCGTTTGACCAACTTTGCGCATAACCCTTATCAAATACCGTTTTATGTTTGCTCAGGCGTACGGCATCGCCCACGGCGAATTTAGGTTTGCCGCCTGCCGCCGCCGCCGCCGGTTTCGGCAACCGGTAGAAAACAACACTCCCGGGCTCGCGGGACGCGTCGTTTCGCGTCATTCGGATGGACGTGTGCACGGTTGTGTTGTAAGCGGCGACTAGATCATCAACGAGCGGCACCCATTCGTGGTTGCCGTGCGCTGTAAACGCTTTCCACATCTTTTCTTTAAAGCGTTCTGTTCCAGCGTTCGCAAACGCTCGCCTTCAGCGGCGTGTACGTTTGATAATGGTGTATATTATACTGCTGCTCGTACACGCGTCGTGCGTCTTTATTGATAAATTCCAGACCACGATCCGTGTGCAGGTGACGACATCGCCTGCCGCTGGACTTGATTATGTGTTCGAGGGCAGTGGCCACGGTCGGACCAGATTTATTTTTCAACGGTACGGCCCAGCCGTACTTGGTGTACACGTCTATAACTGTCAGGAGGAACGTGTGATTTTTATTTTTTTTTACTTTGGAAAACTTTTTCATGTCTACGAGGTCGGCTTGCCATAAATCGTCTTTGCCGTCGGTGCGCACGACCCGTCTGGCAAACCGCCGGATAGCCGGTCTGTGTAGTTCGGTTGCGATGTGCTCGCGAACGGTCATCATCATCAGCGGATCACACCTATTTCCCTGAGTTCCTCCTCGCACGCGATAATTTCGTTGTGCACGGCGGTATTGCCCGCGGCTTGCGCGGCTCTGAGCAAAGCGAGGCGGTCGACTATTTCGTTGGCGTCGTCCCAGTAAACATATTCTTTGTCTTTCCCCGTAACCGTCAACCGCGTAATCCCGTCACCCGTCTTGGCCGCGGCGCGAACTGCGGTCAGGTCGCGTCCGTTCTCGTTGAACAACTGTTTGATAATGTACTTATACTTGTATCCGCGGTTCGTTTTCGGTCTACCGGACGACAGCAAATGACATCCTGGTGAATGAGAAAATTGCGATACGTGGTCAGATCGCTTTCGGTGATGAATTGCATGCGGGGTACCGAGCTGCACACCAATTCTTGGAGTCCTTTTGTGAAGGGTATTTCGGTTAACGTGCCCACTTTTATACGGTTCTTGTTGAACTGTACTGCTTTATCACCCATCACCCATGTTCCGTCTGGTTGTAGATGAATGCCGTACGACGGATTGGTTTCGGTAATACGGAATTCTTCTGCTTTTTCTTTTTCTTCTTCTTCTTCTTCTTCACACTCATCTTTCCGGGCGCCTCGCGCTTGCGTCCGCTGCGCCGACAACTCGGCTGTTAATTTTGTCAACGGTTCAATGATCGGCGCCGCGTGGGTTCGCACGTATTCGGTCGTCACGGCCAATCCGTGCCGCAGCTCGTCTAGTTTGCGTTTTATGCTTTTCTTAGCACGTATAATTGCTTCCGTCGTAGCCGGCGATTCCATGGTTACATTTTACTGAACGGGCGCGATGCCGTCGCGCCTTTTTATATACACGTCGAAACCCATTCGATAACGTCCGTCGTTTAGATCGAAGTCCTTGACAATTGTTAAAAACGAGTACCGGTCGGTGTTCCAACACTGCGAGCACATGGATTTAAAGTCAGCGAACGTCATACCGGATTGACAGTGTTCTTGGTAAACGTGCCGAACGTTAGTCTCGTCCTGTTTGTACAAAACTATCATCGACGCGTTGTCCCGGATCCCGTGCTTCGGCGCTTTGACATACGTTTGCGTCAGGTAAAAGCTATCGATCCCGTTGTGCCGTCCGCGGAAAAAGTATTCGGCGATGTTTCTTTGTTTTTCAAATGCGACATCGTCAAAAACAAACACCGAATTAGTCTGTACTTGTTCGGGTGGAGGCACATGATCCCCGTCGGTGTACACGTGCATTTGCGCGCCGTCAACGCCCTCCATCACCTTCTTTAACATTATATATTTTGGCTGATCAGGTGTCTTCGTGTACAGGTATATGTGTTCGAAGCGCAGCCCGTTTTCGTCTGTCAAAAGGTTTACCATCGCCGTCGTCTTGCCGACGTTACTGGTCCCGCGATAATACATCTGATTGAGGAGGGTAGGAGGGGACCGTGACGGCTGTGGTGGTCGTCAGCAGCGGCTGGGTCGTCGTCGAGCCGCAGAACGGTTAATTTGTGTTCTTGCGGTTCGAAAAACATTATAAAGGTTGTCGCAGACCAATGCCGTGTCCAAACGTAAACGGTGCGTCGTCGTCGAAGGTTCTCAGCGAACAAGATCGGTCGGGTTATCGTCACTGCGGTTATAAGCTCACTACTGTAATGCCTCGTGTCAACCGACGTAAACGGAAGGGACGGCGGTCTGCACCGAAAACCGGAGGCGGGCTGCGCTTCGGCAGTCTCGTAGCTGCCGCTCGTGCAGCGATGCGCAAAGCGAAACCGCTAACCGTCGCTGCGGCAGCGCGGAAGGCGTTATCCGCCGTCAACCAGGTCCGTCGGAAAGCCAGGGGAAAAACCGGTTCTCCCGACCGCGCACGTTGGCCGTGCCGAAAATCGGCGGCGCGTTCGCGCTTGTGCCTTTCTCTCAGCCCTGTCAGCGATCGGCTCACTGCTCGGCGGTGCGTCCGGAATCGTGCGTGCGGTTACGACATCCGCAATAACAAAAACGCGAAAGCCCCGTTAAAAATCGGAAGTGGCTATTTGTTGCACCGCAAGCGAAACGGATCCGGATTCTACCTCAAACCGTACCAGCCAAAAAACTGATAACCACGCTGCCCAGATCGCGGGCGCTGAGCGACGTGGATATTATAAATTACGCGACAAAGTTGGGCATATCTCATTTCCGCGGTGTGTTTATGCGCGACACGTTACCGGCTGCGCCCTTGCGGTTTGAGTGCGGCGTCGTTAATCTTGACGTCTCTACCGGAAGTGGTACACACTGGTGCTGTTACCACAAGCGCAACGATACCGTCTTGTTTTTCGATCCGTTCGGTAACCTCCCGCCGCCGCTAGAACTTCAGCGTTATTTCAGCGGTTGTCTCGTCCAATATAACTACGACCGTGTGCAACGATTCGCAACATCCGTTTGCGGTCAGCTATGTCTCAAGTTTCTGTACGCTCAATGTCGTCCGCGCACCGCTCGTTCACGTTAACCTTTCAAGGTACCGCGAGCGAGCTGGTCAGCACGTTTTTCCCCCCTATCCCGTTGCGGACCGGCGCGGAGATCGCGTTGCTCGACGTCATAGTGTGCAATTCCCGTCCCAACGTCGACGCGTCTAACAACACTTTGCGCGTGCGACGGTTGCCAGGTGTTCAAAAACGCGGTGCCAACATCGATATGTACGATGACAATGTCGCCACCGGTACCGGTTCAGTGCAGATCAAATCGGACGCGCCGTCGCCGTTACCAGACGATGCCTATGACGACGTCGTGATACCCGTCGGGTCGTACGAGGTGTCCGCTTTGGCTCGCGTGCTCAAGTCACTAGTCGAAAACCTAAATCCCGATTACCGGTTCGCGCATCATCCCAACGTCAACACGTTTGAATCGGAACTCCTGTGTAATCGCGACATCAGCTTCGCGGCCCCCAACAGCGTCGGCCCTCTATTGGGGTTTGAGCGGGTCGAGCTGCCGGCGAACACTTTGCACCGATCCGGTCGTCTGATCACCATCGATCCGCTTACGTGTATAAGAATCACATGCAACGTCGCGGCAGGCGCATTCGTCAACGGCGTTCGTAGTCGCGCGATCTATGACTTTTTCCCATCCGTTCCGCCCGGGTTTCAGATCGCAGAATCACCGCGTAATCTGATTTATTATCCAATAGCGACGGATCGTCTCGACCGCGTGCGGGTCACGATTACCGATCAGAACTCGAAGCTGGTCGACTTCCGCGGTGAACCAATCACAGTACGTTTACACGTGCACGATGGGGTTGGTGTTTAAAAGCGTCCGCACGCGTCCGGTTCGGTACATTCAGCCGTCGGCACGTTCCCGGTTAACACGGCAGAGCTTGCAAACGTTATCGGCGCTCGGCTACAAACTCGCCGCGAATCAAACCACCGTCAATGGACGTCGACGTTTTGGACATCACTCGGCGAGTCGAATTCGACGATCGCATCACTAAATACGAGTTTCACACTTATCAACCGTTCTCCAGCAACAGTCTAACGAACAACGATGAGATCCGCATCGCGATTCAACACCAGGACCTCTACACACTCCCTAGCGAATCACTGCTATGTCTGCAGGGATCCGTTGTCGTCACCCCCGGCCACTGACACATCCGACGTGACCATCGTCACCAACGGATTGATGTTTTTGTTCGACGAGATTCGCTATGAGCTGAATTCAGTCGAAATCGATCGGGTGAGACAACCCGGCGTTGCTAGCACGCTCAAGGGGTACGTAACGATGCAGAAGACGGTACACGGTCGGTACGCGAACGCTGGTTGGTCGGCGAACACAACAAAAAAGTTTGATGTCGTTATACCGCTCAGGTTGATATTGGGATTTTGTGAAGATCACAGAAAACTCATAATTAACGCGCGACAAGAACTCGTTTTGCACCGTGCGAGCACCGACAGTGATGCTCTTACAACGAACGCGGCCGCCGCAAGCGTTGTGTTGGATCACGTTACGTGGAGAGTGCCGCACGTCAATGTAAACGATTCTGTTAGATTGCAGTTACTCAAAGCGTTGGACGCGAAAAACCGTTATCCATCGCTTTCCGTAGCTGGGAGCTATTCTCTTATCCGTCGCCCCCCCGTCGAACAAACATTCCTGGGCGGTTAAGACGAGCACGCACACGGAAAAGCCGCGATACGTGATAGTAGCCTTGCAGACCGATCGGAAAAATAAACTCGCGACGAACTCCAGTCAGTTCGACGGATGCGGGTTGACCACGTTGAAAGTATATCTCAACTCTGAATCGTATCCGTACGATACGTTAAAAATCGATTATGCCGGTGATAAATTTTCGTTTTTGTACAACATGTATGCGAGTTTTCAAGAATCGTATTACGGCGTTCCGGTCGGAGAACCGTTGTTCACCGCAGCAGAGTTTAAGTCGACATCCCCCATCGTCGTTGTAGATTGTTCGAAACAGAATGATTTTGTTAAGAACGCACCGATTGACTTACGTATAGATTTTGAAACGGCTAGCAACGTGGCTGACAACACACGCTGCTTAATGTTTAATCGTACACGATAAAATTTTTGAATATAACGCTTTGACTAGCGAAGTGCACAAAATTTTGTAATACCTGTTTTTTTTTTGTATATATATTTTTTTTTAATTTAATATTCCTTTATGATTGTAAATATTTTTTTAAAAATAAATAATCATTGCGTTAAAAATTTTTTTTTTTTTTTTCCTTTTCTTTCTTCGCTCTCAGTTATCAACCTTTTTCTTTTAACCATTGATTGGACGGGTAACATACAAAATGAATACACAGTTTTTTTTTTTTTTTTTTAGGTACATTACACATATTCATTTATTTTTATCGTACGTCAAGATGATATAACAAACATACACATATTATTAATCATATAAAAACAGAATTCGTTGTTACATTTTTTTATTTTTTTTATTTATGTGCCCGCGAAGCACAGGTCCGTCCGCCCGCCGTTTAATGCTGCTGCTGCTGCTGCTGCTAGCGTCGTCATTTTCTTCTTCTTCTTC